AAAGCATCCTACACATTCCAACAACAGCAAAACACTGCTGCATATGCTATTCATAACCCATTCCACTACCATAAAAATCCATAAGAAGAAACAGAGACAAATAACTCTCGACCCAAAACTCAAACATTCTTGGTTCCATATATATAAATTTTTTGCCACATATCTCACATGCAGGACAACATGATCGAAATGCAATATGTTCCAACATAATTTTTAGCATTTTGTGGTGAATTTTATTGACCGAATTTTTTTATCATTACCAATTTAAACCGAACCTTACATGAATAAATTAATTGGTTATATTGGGAATAAAAAAAAATTGTATTGAAATATGGCTTGTCACATGCTTCTATCGGTTAAGTTTTATAGATTTTTTTTGGCGAGCTCGCTTATGCATGGAAACATTTATTAATAAATTCAGTTTTTGCATACATTTATCTCCGTATCACTTGTCTATTTATTCGGAACTTCAGCGATATTTTTTTTTTCGTACATGAACATGTACATGCACATGCATTGATATCGCTGCAACATTTTTTTTTGACTGTTTATGCAAATGCAACAAACTATGATGAAATATTTTTACATAAATATGAATTTTTGCGAGAGTTCATTTTACAAAACTTTGAATCTGCATAAATTTGTCATATTTTAACAACAAACTTGTTATTTATTTTTTTTTTTGAAAGATAATTTGTTGCTTTACATAGGAAATTGTTTATACATAAAAATTATGTTATGTTGATAAACATTACGACATGAAAATGTTGTTACCGTATGGAGTGGACATGAATATTTTATATAAATTAGACATTAGTATGAATGGGTTTACTAAGTGAGTTTTTAATTAATTTAGTATGAATTGGTTTGAACCGATCTGATCGGCACACATTGAAATGTTTACTACTAGTGGCCGGGTTGATTGTATAATTAGAACTAAGCGGAAGCTGTAGCAGCAGGCCTAAAGAATGAGGAAGTCTTGCAACATAACAGTACGTGTAGGTTATGTCGCAAGACTTTCTCAGTCTTCAGGTCTGCTGCTACACAGCCACTTGGAAGACATTTTCAACTGGACGCTTAGTGGTTGCCACGTGGCTACCATTGTCAATTTCAATTAATTTCAATGTGCTCATCGGTTGACAGCTTTGATTTTATCAATGGTATTGCAATGAGGAAACAAATTGAGTTTGGGCAAAGGGGGAACTAGATCTTAGCCTAATCAGTCAAAAAAAAACATTTATGTGCAAAACAGCGCCAAACTCAATTCAAATGGGTGGAAATTTTTGATTAAGAGCTAAACGCCTTCAAATCCCCCCCAAATCACTTCCTTAATTGTTTAGAACTTTGAGAATCAGCCATGAGCTCATACCATTGAATGGATTAATATTAAGCACCAGTTCTGTTGTATCAACTTTAATTAAATTCCTTAAAAATTATTTATAGAGTTTTGTAATGAAAATCAAATTCTTTAAAATTATTTTGTCCTTAGACGATGAAGTCAACGACAAGAATTCTAATATTTGTCTTCAAAAATTCATTGATTCTTGTTCTTCTAGACATGCTTAATATTCATGAAAAAATCACTCTTTATAAAGTAAATTTGTTTCGTGGAAAAGTTTGTTAATGAAATTTTGATACTTTGGGCTTTTATTCGTGGGTGACTTGATAGCAACTTTTGATGATTTTTATTCATACTTCCAATTTTTTTTTCTAAAATTTCGAAAAATTTGTTATAAATTTTTTATTCTTCTTCAAATTTTTTCTAGAAATAAATTCCTTCAAAAGAGAAGGACCTCACAGCGAACATTTCTCATTTTCGTCATTCTCATCTTCCCACACAAATTCTGTCAAAAGATAATGGAACTTTACAATTATCATAAAATTGTCAAAATGTCTTTTTCACAAATTATACTAAATTTTCAAATGCTGTCATAATACTAAAGGATAATAGGGCTTTTATACGCAAAAGGAATGAAATTTCTCTATTTATTTTAGCTGACAATGCGATATACGTAATTGTCTTGAGAGCATAAAATTTAATGAATATTTGATTGGTTGAGAATGATTGTATTGTCGGTTTTATTGACAGATGCGTTCCAAGAAGTTTTATGCGTAGACGAATTTTAATCAATAATTTCATTGTTTTGAGGACTTCTGTCATGACGAATTGCATGTTCTCAAGAGAAACTAAATCTAGGGATTGTAGATTGGTTAATTCATCAATGATGTATACTAGAAAATTTATTAAAGTATTAATCAGATCCTTCGTCACCAAATCTAATCTTCAAACTCCAAGAAAATCTCACTGATCCACCATGGTGATGAGCCTTCTCTTAAATCAGTGCTGGCGAACCTTTTTTATTTCGCAACACATCTTGGTAGTAAGCTATGACCCAAACCGCACTAGTGTGCTACAGCACATGGGTTGGCCATCACTGCCTTAAATATATGACATCATTACTAAATAACCCCCAAAAACATAACTGCAAGCAATAAATTCAATCCCAAAATATAATTCTTAAATCCAAATACACCCAAAAAAGTGTGAAAATTCCACAATGTTCCATAAAAAGAATGCTCCAGTTTACTTCACAAAACATAAACTTTTCCAAATGATGCCATCAAAAATAATCATAAACCTTGCCATTTTATGATAAATGATAATATTTTATGTTGTTATAAATAAGGTTATCCTACATTCAACTATAAATTAATATGCATAAAATAATCAACAAAAATGTTATTGCCATGGTCTGCTGGTTCGATATTTGGATGTTTTTATCATAGAAACTTTTTACTACCATATTAAATGAGATGTCCTACTTAGAACTCTTTATTGTCTTTTGTCGCGGCTGGATTGTATGCAATGAATATTTCTTTTTTGTTGAGCTTAGTAGACCTGTTGTCTATGATTCACAGGTCATGAGATGTGTGTTGACCTTTTGTTTAAGAAATTTGAATGAACTTTGAGACTTTATTTTTGAAGCTATTGCTTTGATAATAATCTGCGAAACAGAATTGATTTAAAATTTAAGGATCCAGACATCATTCAAATCTAAAAGCTTAAGCCAGAGTAGCTTGAAAGCTAAGAATCCTTCAAAAAGTCAGCAATGCCCTGATTTGACGTTGAATTCGTACAAAATTAAAGTTTAGGCATCATTCTTTAAAGCACATAAACACTTTGTCGTTATCATGACGGTTCTTTTCGATTATGTTGGCTATTGTACTGTTCAAGATCAATTCATGCTCTAAACTTTTATTAAATTCATGACTTGACTCAAATTGCGACTATCCAAATAAAAAAGAATTATTTCAATGTAATCAACATGATAAAGAGTTAAGCCTACACACATGCAGTCATAACATAAAATCTTTATTGGCTTGACGTCTTTCGTATTTGGATCATCCTTGTTGCTACGAGACATAAATATTTGTTTTTAATTCTATCAAATTTTAAATACTCTTAAGTAGGTTCTTAGCGTAAATCTTTAATTTTTAAATAATAAAACTCTTCTCAAGGTCAGAAGTATTTACATTTTCGCATCCTTATTTTTAAATGTCCTCATTTCTTAAGATCGTGCATCCTTTTTATTTTAAACCTTTTATTTTTGACAATTTTTTTACTCAAGCCTACAATTTCCACATAAAGATTAACCTACTGTGAATCTTTACATTAAGACTCATACAAAAGAAACGAAACAAGAAAAGAATCTGCCATGATATCGTCGAATAATCTCCAGCAAAGAAATGAGATTTTTCATATTTGACTTTCATAGTCCTTTTTTAAGAAGAATAAAGAAAAGGAAAAGGATTTTTTTTGCGTGGATATAGAATAAAAAAATACTCTGCAAAAAATCCTTTTCTCCTCCTTTTATTTTTCTACTCGTTTCTATTTGTATGATATCCTGAGTTTTACTCTTTTTAAGCTTCACTCAGCAACTTTATTTTTTTGCTGCTTTATTCTTTTTGATATATTTTTAAGTTTATTTTGTGAGTTGCAAGTTTTTTCTCATTCTAAAGAAAGCTCAGAGGTTGTGGATGAGATTTTGCTTTTCAACTAGCTTCTTCAGTCTGTTTACAACATGAGTCCAGCAATAGTTATTATTTTTTTATTTGTCGACGTTACCGTCCGGAAGAATTAGTATTTATACATGTTTTACTTTTTACATTGATTAGTCATACATTTCATATCACTATGGGTGACGTAGAATCAAGCTTCTAATCTTCAAATCTAGGTTTCGATTAAATTCAGGCTCTCGTTTCAATCTTCTGTGGGCGTGACGTGATACATTTCAGATCCGTTCTAACAATACTCCATTATAGGTAATCTTGTAGCTCTCGTTCCTATTTCTCCCGCTACACTTCAAGTTCTTGATCCGTTCCTTAATCCAACGTTGCCCAAATACCCAATTATGGCTTGATCTCGTACATTAAGCAGTCGAAGTATCTAAACTTCTGAAAAAGAACAAATTTGGAAATGGCTGGATTCGAACCGACGACCTTCGAGTTACCATACCAAATTTGAGCTAAGCGCCTTACCTATTCGACCAGCAAGGCACTTAACTGCATAAGACACCAGAGGCTGCAAAATATCAATAAAAATCACAATTCTCAAAAATAAATTATGGCTACACCCCTGCTAAGCACAATGCTAAAGGATATTTTTCTCGTCATCTAACTTTAAGTCAATAAAGACAGAAAATGCGTTTCCAACCCAAACATCTACTGACATTTCACATTAATTATTATTGAACTATGTTGAGCTTTAAATGTCATGACTCATGGCATTGAAAAAGAAGTTTCAACTTTTTTGGGTGAACAACGAAATAAGAAACTTTCCAATAGGACAGTTTGAAGCAGAAGAAAGTCGCCTTTAGCGATGATATAAAAATAAAATAGCACAAGGATATTTTGATTCCATTTTTTGTATAAATCATTGCGACTGTCTGAAAAACTTTTTACTCATTCATAATTTTTTTTTTCTCTCTCAAATTTTCCAGGTCCAAGCACAAGTACAAATAATAATTATCAGCAAACAACACAGTTAGGTAATAATAATCAAGATGGCCAGCAACAGCAGCAGCAACAACAACAACAGCCGCAACATTTAATGCATCAACAATCAGCAAATATATCAAGTAGTAATAATAATAACTTAATTAGTAACAATAATAATTTTGGAAGTTATGGTAATACAACGGCATCAAACATTTCATCGGCAGCAGCGTCAACGACGACAAGTGGCTATAATGGAAATACAAATCAATCAATACCACGACCAATGCAAAAGGTAAAAGACTATAAATTCAATTTTATGGAGGATAGACACAAATTAATGTCTTATAATTTACATTACAGGTGATACCGACAGTAGTATATCTTATGTCACGAATAGCTGTACATATGGAGATAGAGGGGACAGCGCAATGTCCAGCACAAGTAATGCTGGCTGCTGCACTCGGCTGTGAAGAATTAGGAATATCAAATAAATTGTTAGCACAAAGTGTTTTTGGACTGTGGATGTCGAGTCCACTATTAGAGATACAACTAAAGCCACATCATCGACCGTATGCTGTTCGTGTGGCATGGTCAAATCTACTTGAGAAAAATTCACATGGGAATGAGCTTGAAAAATGTTCTGACGATCCAATGACGACACTAAGGAGAAATATTTTCTATTCGAGACGAGATGAGGAGAAAATTAAGTAAGGGCAAATAATTATACAGACATATAACTTTTATATTTTATTTTAATAAGGGGGAATGAAATTTGATGAAAAATTTTTATTTTTGGGGCTATAAAAATAAGCAAATCAAGTGGTTTGAGTGGACTGGGGGCAAATCAAGTGCTTTAGAACTTAGCCGTCTGTTAAGTTGATGTGCTTATGAACTGTGTCATAGTAGACAGAACTTAAAGATGAGGGGGGGGGGGGGGGGGGGGGGGGGGTGTTTGAGGTTGAATCCAAAACCAAATTTCTACCCTATTGACTCCTCGCCTAGCTACGTTACTGATGTACTCTAATGAAATAAATTAAACTAAGCCACTACTCCTAATATCCCATACAATGACTGCAAGCTAAAATACCAGAAGTACTCAAAAGCTTTAGCATTCCATAAAAGAAACAAATACTTCCTACTCATCCATAATCCCCCTGATTTGATTCATAGAAAATAGCATAAAAATCATTCAAGCATGATAATTTTGCCACAAAAAATCGAGCTTTATGCCAGCAGACCCTTTTTCCTTCAACACTTTTTTCTTCATTCCCAAAATAATGCCCTTGACTTTTAAAGTATTAGTTCACATAAAATAAGGTTCTATTACCCTTTCCACATCAACAGTAAAGGTCCGATCCTTAAAAAAAAATCCAAAAACTGTCATTCTCTTGGATATCGTCGTTCGCATAAAAAAAGCCTTAATAATAGCTCTCAATTTGACCTTTTATGCCAATGCATGGCACAGTAATGAATTCAACATCATTATCCATTTGAAATAATAAGAAAGTATCTATTTTTATACATAAGCGTATATCCTCACACATGCATACATGTGAGGATGAAATGAGATTAGAGAATTGCTGCTATGTAGGTTTTTGAAAAGAATATACAGCGATATACAAACGTATCACATTATTTAGCATCATAAATTCAATTCACTCTAATTGCCTTGCTTATCTCATCGCTTTATAACATAATAGAAAAATAGCATTCCGCAATGGCATGAATAAAATTTCAATTTAATTACTTTCATTTGTGCTCTCATTTCACTTCAACTATGTGTTGCGGTCTTCTTCTTCTTCTTTTTTCTAGACGGGAAGAAGTCTTTTATTCCTTTCAGCTGCTTATCATAATTAAGTGGGATTTCATTAGGCATAAATTATCATGCTCTTAGTGATGATGGGGATATTTTAAATTATGTATGTAATGGGATAATAATACGTTCTGGATTTTCTACTTTGTGTCTAATTAGAAAAACTTAATTGAGGCTGAGTAATTGTGGGAATTTTCAATATGTTAAGTCTTAAGTTTTTTAAAAAGCTACTTTTGATGTGCTCGCATTTTCAAATATGTGGAATGACCTGTTACAGAACACAAATATTAAGTATATAGTTTCAAATCCTAAAGTTCTCAAAAAATATACATAAGCACATCATGCTTGATGGGACACACACCTAGTAACACTTAAAAAATTACCAAAATAAATGCGCAGTCGGCAGGATTCGAACCTACGCTCTCTAAGAGAATTTGATTTCGAGTCAAACGCCTTAACCACTCGGCCACGACTGCTCTCAATTACATATTTATTCTAATGACATAGCGACACATTTAAAGTACAATCAGCATGTCTTTTGTTGCGTTTTGCAAGACCAGACTAAAATGAATTTTTTGCCTTTCATATCCGAACGAGTTTTCCAGTCTACCTAAATTTATGCTTGGTTAAATTATTTGATTAGAATTTTTCTGATGGAAATAAATGACAAAACAAAAACCATCATAAAAATAGAATAGCTGTAGATGAAACCATGAAGATAAAGCTTTATATATTGTTGTTAAGCAAACAATATCAACGTCATGTATTTTTACAGTTTCGATGTTGAAGAATTTATATGTAATTCAGAATAGAAGGATTGAGAATTTAATTAATCTATTTTGATTTTGAAAAGAATTTCATTAGTTGTTGAATAACTGCATTTGCTTTAGCTACATGAGTGAATATTTTTCATTCAATTTTTATTTATTGATTTAACTTCAAAAAGTAATATGTACATTCTAGCCAACATCTAGTTTATTTATTGAAATATTTGACTGGATGTTTTGATCACAAAATATTTTTTAGTGTTTTCATAAGTGAAGTCAGACACAAACGTACTGACAATCTCCCTCATTTCTAACCAAAAGTACCCATTTATAAAATTTTCACCAATTTTCCATGAAATTAAATGAAAAATTTCTTGTTCTTTTGACAATTTCATTATCAACAGAGATCCAAGGATACTAGAGCTTTTATACGAAGAAGCACGTCATAATGTACTTCTGGGAAGGTATATTATGGAGCCAGCTCATTCAATAATGCTAGGAGGAATTCAGGCGCGCATTGAATTAGGACCATATAATGTTCATACACATACTGTTAGTTATTTTAGGTAAGTAATGCTGAAAAATTTTAAGGTTATGATTCATAATTTAATTATTTAATTTATTTAATAATTCCAGAGAAAATCAATTTAGGTTTTTGCCAGCACATGTGGCAAGGAGTACAAGCTGGTCATGGCTTCCGTACAGTAGACAAACATCAGCAGAAGTAAGACTGTTAGAACAATTTAAACGTGTACCAACAACAGCAACGACGAGAAAATTGATGCGCAAATATTTGGAGTTTTGTTGGGCACTTCCATTTTACGGGTATGAAGCTCTTTGTATTTAAATTATAAATAGTAGTATTCAGTCACGATGATGAAGAAAGAGACAGAACAACAGAGAGGAGAATGAATAAATAAATAACACAGTAAAAAAAAGATGAAGACTAAAATGCCATCCACCCACTTTTCACTTACATTTTCTTTCTGTGCTAATAAAACAATGGAAATTGAAGAGAAACGATAGTGCCATCCATTTTGCACTGTTATTCCTTTTTTTGTTACTTATTCTCTTTCTTCTGTTTCTTCTTTACATTCACTGTATTTTTAATGCTGCAAAGCCTCTTTTGTTTGAACACCGAACTCATTAATTAAATTGCTTTTTACTGTTTCCACCTCTTCATTTTTATGATCGCACCACGAAACAATGTCCTCGTTATTGCAAATGCCGTTTAACATCGTTTTTATTTTCATTCTTCTTGATATGATGGAATTTATATTCGCATAAACTATTGGATTAACAACAGTGCTGCCTTCTTCCACGGACAAGTGGAACAACCAGTTCGAGGTCTTATGAGCCTATTTCAACAAAAGGATATTCCCGTTCTGATAGCAATTAATGAGAAGGGAATTTATATCATCGATCATGTTGAGAGTGTGAGTATTTTGCGTTTTGGGAGAATTTGTAAGTCAAGATGAATTGAATCGGCTGCTTGCAATCGACTTTGAGTTTAATCGAATAAAGTCAACTTCGAGTTGTGATCTGGGAAGCTATGGACTCGATTTAATCAAAATAAAGAGAACTAGTCACGATTCTTTGAAAATTTTTGATCAGTTCCACATCTTCAGAACTTGTCAAATATGACTATATTCCTTAAATTAGCCTAATATTGCTGATTCAATTAAATAGCAGTAAATCCATTAAACCATCGCAGAATCAGACATTTCAACCCGTTCAAACTGAATTTACCAAAAATATTTCAAACTCTTGATTTGAACAAATCTTTGAATCCTGATAATTTCCATTGAATTTTGCGATCCAGTTCTCCTACCTTGAATTCCTTAGTGAAGCTCAATCAAGCAACGTTGTCACAAACAATTATCTACTTTAATTAACTTCCATTCCTTCATTCCACAGACACTACTGCTAGGACTAAAATATGAAGATTTTTCATGGGACTTTGGTAAACCGCCAACAGTCAGCGACGATCCTGAATGTTTGCCTTGTTTATTTATACAGGTTCGTAAACACACATATTAACCCTTATTTATCGCTTTATATTGTAAAAAATTACATTACTGTCTATTTATGGACATTATGGCGACAGAAGCAGCGAGAATATTAATATATTTTGCAACCATAATAATTGGTATTGCGTTGCATATTTTGTTGACTGTAAAAATTAATTTAAAAGCACCCAAAAATTCTCATTTTCTCGTTGCTGCTAAGTTGCCAATTTTTCCTCTTCTCTTAATGTCCTTGATTGATTGCGAGTGAATACTTTCATGCTTATTCGTTATTTTTGTTTTCGTCCCCGTCATGCTTCATTACATCATCCTATTGCGACTGCTGAAAAACAACAAAAAAAAAACTGGAAAAACGAATTTAAAAACCGCATTGACATGTACAAAACCCGTACACATACATAACAGTTTGGTGCTGTTGAAAATGGAATCACTGTAACGAAATTGATGCAAATTTTCTCGAGACAAGCAGCAATGATGGACGCCTTAATTTCACATTTTGCCGAACAAATGCGACGTCGAAAGGATGGAACGGATGCCATCGAAAATGTTGCTGACGATGGTAAGTTTTTTTGAAGGTTTTTAAATGGGGAACTTGGTAGATTTTGTGGATACAGAAACATTTTGTAATAAAAGCTTTTGAAAATTTTTCAATGCTTTTACAAAATTTTAAGAAAGCTTTCAAGAATTTTCCTAATTTTGAGATGAAAATTTCCCAGAATTTGAATTTTTTCGCTATCAAAGTAAATTTTTCTCTCTTAATTAAGTTTCCCCTAAACTGATTTACCTCGATTTTTCATGTAATTAATTCTATTATCTCCTAATTATTCCATTGAATATATTTATTTCTATAGAACCAAATCCCATTCAAAATAATGGCATAGGTGTGCTGAGCAATAAATTTTCACGTCTCACGCTCGCCACATTTGATGATGAAGGACGATGCATAGGACAAATGGGCTCATTATCGATAAGCTATTAACATTTAATTATCCTTTTTAATGATTTCATTTGAAATACTCATCATGTAATCACGCTCCGACTATAAAAGTGAATCTGCTGTATCCAAAAAAAAAATAACTAGAATAATGATAATAATTATAATGATGAAAAAAAAATGTGAAGAAAAGTTGTTTTCCAAATTATTGAAATGACGAAGTAATGAGAAATGTTTAGGTAAGAAAAATATTTAAAACAATTCCTACACACACCCAACTTGGGGTTGGCAATGTTTTAGAGTCAATTTTGATTAGTTTTTTGAAATTTTGTTTTTATAAAATTGAATTTTTAATTTTTAAAGATTTTGAATGCATAAAATTATTTAAAATTTTGATTGTTATGAATTTTAAATTTTAAAATTTTTCAATTTGAAAATTTCAAATTTAAAAAAATTTGAACTTTAAAAATTTTGAATTTTTAAGTTTTTTACATTTTTGAATTTTTCAAAAAAGAAAAAATTCAAACTTTCCGAAAAAAATTCAAAAAATTAATTAAAGTTGAGAATTCAAAGCATTCATAACCTCAAAAACACCCACACGTTTCTAAAGAAAAAGAACAAAAGATAGCTTTAACATCATTTAAAAGCTTAAAAAAATTACATGAAAATTGAATTAACTTAAATTTATCTTAAAAGAAATTAAAACAAAAAAAAAATATGTGAAAAAATAATAAATTAATTTCTCTCCATTTATGTGAATATTGTACGTATTCATCCATACATTAATGAAGACGAAAAATTTTATGATTTCATAATTTAAAATATAAATTTTAATATCGGAGTAAACAGATAATTGAAAGCATGAATAATCAAAGAAATATTTTCTCTCTTACTTTTTATTATTCATTCAAATTTAAATCTCTTACACACACATACGTACTCATTCACCTCACATACACACACGAATAAAAAAATTTTATATATTTTTCGAGACAAAACAAAAAAAACTCTCCAAAAAAAAGAAAATTTTGATATGAAATCAAATGACGCAGATGAGAAAGCAATTTGAATTTCGAGATTATTGAATTAATTAAATTTAATTTAATAGAAAATTTCTAGCTAATGATGCTGTGCTATTTATGAAATGACAACTAAGTTTACACGCGCATGTATTTTCGCTGTTTTATGAGTTCAAAGTCATTTGTGGGGCTTGCTATAGAATTCCTAAAATTTTGATTATGATTAGATCCTTGCAGAAGATATTATGGAAACATTTCTACACGTGGAATGTGAAGCTTCATGTTTATGCTATTTTTAAAAAATAGATATTTAATTTTTTTGCGCATCGTCTTGTTAAAGTTATGGACGTTAAATATGATTTTTTGTAAATTTCATGTGGGTTGTTATTTTTTTGATCTGTTTCGTGGAAATCTCGTGAATTCTCTTCGGTACAATATTAAATATCAATCTTCAATAATCATTGGTGCATGAAGGATATTCAATTTTGCAGTTGTCTGTTGTCTTGATTCCTTTAAACTGCAATCCATCATTCATAAGTTAAGATATAGCTCTAAATGTTAATATAGAGAAGATATGACGTAGGTTGAAGGTTCAATTCCCATTAAACATAGGTTCAAGACTGACCAAAACAGTAGCTTTTGTATGCTACATGCTGTTATGCCAATTAAGTTGATTCTCTAAAAGCTAAAATTAAGAAGCGAATTCAAACTTGAAAAACTGCCAGTAGTCATCCATTTACTAGTTTTGTAGCCATATGTCTGATTAATTGCTCATCATGTCAGTTCATATCAATATTTTCTCACCCACTCCACAAAATTCAACACAAACACTAGAAAAAAAATTAAAAAACAAAAGAAAGTAACTTAAAAAATTGAAAATTATTCACAGTATCAAATTAATCATGAATAATTTTGAGTCCAATGATTTAATGTGAAAAAAAAAATGATTGAATTTTTCTCAAATCAATTCATGACTTTAATTCGGTGCTGTGATGGAAAAAAAACCTCTGCCTTCCTCATCTAAATGAAGTAATAACTCAAATTATTTAGAGCGAAAAAAAATTAAATGAAACGTTAAACCTGCTATAAGAAAATTTTACATTTCATTTCTCGAAACTGAATCGGCTAAAAAAAGGAATTTCAATATACGAATAATTGAAGAAATTGTAATTTTTTTGTGTTCGATAGAAATTACCGGAAGTGTAGTTAAGCATGAAAAAAAAAGATAAGAAAAATTTACTTCCACATCAATATTATGATAAGGTGAAATAATTGATGAAAAAAAAAATTAAGATGAAAAATGATGGAATGAACCTTGGAAATATGGAAACTCATTGTATATATAAATCATTTAAGGAATAATATTAAATTGAAAGAGAAAAGTGAGAGAAAAATTGAAAAGTTGGCATTTAAATTGAGATGGAAGTGAATTTGAGGTTGATGTTAAGATTACAAGTGGTGCAGATATATTGAGGACTAGGTTTGGTTTGGTGTTTCATCAAAATATGAAGTAGGTGCGAAGCTAGGAGATTCAATTTGGTTGACTTTCAACCCTAGTCAGGTCCAAAATTATAATATTCTGATAATCTATTGCTGTAGCGTCTGAAACTCCACCCCTCCCCCCTTCCAAAAGCTACGCATCCTTACTTTGACTTTTATTTGAATTGGGATTTAACATAACTGCTTATCGAAGCGATTGTTTTAGCTTGTTTACCCGAAAAACAATCGAATAGACTCAAATTGAATCCAGCTCATGCTAGAGTAACACCAGGTTGGCGACGGATTTCTATTTGATAAACCGGCTTGCGCTATTCAGTTTAACTTTCTAAGTCCAACTCACTGACAAGTTAAATCCAATACTTATTTTTAAAAATCAACATTTTTTTTAAAAAGCCTTTTGAAACATCGAAAAGGAAGAATCCATCTTCTAGATGCCGAATAACGAATCTTGAGTGGGACTCGAACCAACATTCTACAATTTCCTATTGCACGCTCCTACCTCTGAGCTTTGGAGGTTAGACTACTGTATGGCTGAATCCCATATATAAGTTACACTCTTTTCAATGTTTTCATGATTTATCGTTGCAATGGAATCGCTTATTCCAACAAACCCCTTTCAAATCAACCTCAAAATTTAAAAAGTAACCAATCAGAATTCCTGTATGCTTCAGTATTGATTCTGCACCATCTGTACAACTAAGATTCACCTGAGATTTAATGCCATCTCGATTCTAATGCAAACATTTCTTGGGGTGTAAAAAACAAATCTTAAGCACAACGCTATTGTGCTCAATCAAGCTCAAAAAGGTGGATTACATACTTTAATTTCGAGATATATGAATGCATAAGAGAGTGTGTGAGTGTAGATGTTTATGTGTGTGGGAGAAAATGTATGTCAAATAAGAGTAAAAGTCACATTAAATGCGGAATATAAATGATATATTCTCACATCGCAATGAAGCAAAAATAGCAACAACAATGATTTTGGTGTAAGCAATCGAGAATGATGATGATGGAAGTAAAAGGAGCGTTACGTTGGAAATTAATCATGGTAAGGAGAACAGAAACAGCAGCTATAAAAAATGTAGAAGAATCATTTTTTTCGCTTTTCCTCGCAAGAAGTACGGAAAAAAAAGCATTTATAAATTGTGCCAGAGGAAATATAACGAGATTGAACTGATAATGAATGCTTTTCTATTTCTCATTCACATCTACTTCTTCATCCATCCATCCAGCATCTCATTGCCATTATACCGCGGTACATATTCATAGTGTGTATACATTGTGCATGTATGTAAGCATTTTTTTATTGAAATGATACGAGAAATGTTTTAGAATGATGAAAAAGGTTATGGATTTGAGCATGACATTTGAGATCGTAACGCTTTTGCGTTTCAATCCGTTTTCTGTGCGGGTGTTTAAGATCTTTAAATAGTTATTAATACACTGGTGGATAGGAATATAAAACATTTGCAGAAATATGATTCTGAATGGATTATAATTATTTTGAATATCCTTCCGATTTTTTTTTCGTTGCTTATGTTGAATAACATACAATTTGCCAAAAACAGCGTGAAAAGCAAAATTTCCGATCGCATCATTGTTCATTCTTCAATTTAAACCACACAGAAAAATATATTTTCACGAATAACAAAATACAAAGGTTCAGGGACGACGTAAGGAATCCAAGAGTTTCTCCTTCTTTTGTTTATTATAAAAAAATCCCAAACAACGGCTCTGCAAGGATATGAATGAAAGAAGAGAGGATTTAATGAAAAAGATTATGGATTAAGTTCCTACCTAGCTGAAAATATGTTCTCTCATTTTCTTTTCTTAACATTATATTGCGTGCTCGCAGATCTTCATGTTATACGACGGGATTTTCTTGTAAATTATGTCATTAAGCTTTTTTGGAACGATATCCTGAATGATAAGAGAATTCTTCAATACTCTTTCTCGGATTTAAGCAGAATTAGTTGAAAATAAATATGAGGGGAGCTTTTAGAATCAATTTGTTACTTAACGAGGTGGAAATATTGAAAGTTTTAAGGTAAAATTTAGTAGGATTCAGGATAAAGAGTTATTTAGAGCTTTAACTGTTCTAAGAGCTTTTTAAGAAATTTCATTCAATTATTCTATTGTCTTTGATCATATGTAACTCTGATAAAGATGCCTTAAGTCCTGAATTTTAATAAAATTTGCAAGTCTAATGTCAAAAATTCTCAAAAGTCTGAATTGTATCTTTTGATTAGTGACATATACTCAAACTCTAGCCTCTAAAGCATTTAATAATTCATAAATGCACACCCGAACTGCACACATTGAAATGTTGTCCACACGGTAGTCAAACAGACAATTACAACCATTTGCAATAGGCAGCAATTTTAGATTCAATTGAGCCGTGAGGACAACATTTAAATATGGTCAAATCAGAACATAGTCAACAAATGACAGCAATACTAAAACTTTTAAAAAATCTAAAGCATAAGAAATAATATTCACAACAATTGTCCAACCAGGCTGATAGTATGTAGGAGGATAAGTTGACAAGTAAAAGTATAAATATGTTCAAGCAGTCCCACACTGATAGAAAGTATGTCAATACT